TGTATCATGCTTTCATGTGTTACTGACCAACTATATGTCTCCCTTGGAGACATGTCTATTCAGATCCTTTGTCCCTTGTATTAATTGGTTTCTCTTTTTATTACTGAGCTGTAAGAGCTCTTTTTTTATTCTAGATACAAGTCCCTTATACCAGGTAAAGTTCTGCAAATATTTTCTCCCATACTGTGAACTGTCTTTTTGCTTTCTTGATGGTGTCCTTTGAAGCACAAAATTTACCAGTTTTATTTTTTGTTGTTGCTTGTGCTTTTGGTGACATATACAGAAAGTGTTGAGAGGAAAAAAAGTGTTGAGGACATCTAAAAGTAATTCAGCTTCAGATCTTACCCATGCCCACTAGTATCATCTGGGAAGTCATAAAAAGCTTTTGCTCTTTCTTCTAGAGACAAAGAAAGACAATTTAATTTTATTCTGAAATATTTAAAATATACATAAAAGTACAAAGAATAACATACATCTGTGTCCCCACTACCCAACGTAAGAAATTTTACCCATAAAATTAAAGTCCCCATGTCCCCTTTTTACCTTACCCTAACCTTCTGGCAGTAACCATTAACCTGAATTTGGTGTTTATTATTCTCATGAATTTCTTAATACTCTTACTGCTTGTGTATGTATCCTTTATCAAAATATTGTATTTTTAAAGCTTCATAAAAGCAGCATTATGGAACACACATCCTGAAATTTGCGTTTTCTCCACTCCATACTGAGATTTAACTATGTAGATAAAATTGCTATAAGTATATGAATATAGGTCTAGTTCATTAATTTCCAAAGGGGCTAAACGTTGTATAAATACACTGTTGTCCATCCTATAGATGGACATGCATGTTGAAATAGCCAAAACCTGGGGGAAATGACACTAAATATTTTTGAACACATGAAATAGCTTCTCTAGAACCATGACTTTCCATATCTTTTTGACTGCAACTCACAGTGAAAGAACTACATTTTATATCTTGACCCTATGCACAGACCTATATTTGTGTGTAGGTGTGATCAGCATATAACAAAAGCTTCATGTAACAATACTATCTGTTAATTGCTGTGTTATTATATTCTCTTAAATAGATAAACAAAAGATGGCTTACAGACACTGAATTGATTTCATGAGTTCCCTATATAGGTTTCCAACACAGTTTAAGACATACTCAAGGGAATTAGCCCAAGGAGTGGAATTTGTGGTCCTGACATGTCTTAGTCAGTTCAGGATGCCATAGCAAAATACTATAGAGTGGATGGCTTAAATAACGTGTTTTCTCACAGTTCTGGAGGCTGGACGGGTAAGACCAGGGTAGCCGCACAGTCAGATTTGGATAAGAGCCCTCTGCCTGCATACGAGACAGCTAGCTGCCTTATTACAGTGTCCTCGCACATGCAAAGCTCAGGTCCCCTGTCTTCTTATAAGAGCACTAATCCTATCATGGGCACTCCCCTGTTATCTAAACTTATTACTGCCCAAGGGTCCACCTCCAAATAGCATCAGACTGGGGAGCAGGGTTTCAACACATGAATGGGGGTGGAGGGGGAACAAACATTCAGTCCATACATGTGGTATACACATAGCTTTACTAGACAATTCCACTGTTTTCCAAAATAGTTGTAGCAAATTATGCTTGCGCAGAAAGACCAGTTGTCGCTGTTCTGCCTCCTGGCTGGATTTACATGTATTCCTGATCTTGCCTACGTGAAATGGCATCCTGTGAAGTATGCATTTCCATAATTAGTGGTGAGCCCAAGCATCTTTCCTGTTTACTGGCCATCTGTATTTTCCCGTTCCACCAACTATCATACAGGGAAACTATGGAAGGGACTCTAACTATGGAAGAAGTTTCCACGGCCACTTCGGAGCCGTAGCTGGGACACATACTCAAGTGTACGGTTCTGATGTTTAAACCTGTGACAATGTGCCCAAGAGAAAAGAGAATCAATCAAATATTACCTTCTCAGGAAAACTTTCATTCTTCCCAGGCCAGAGCAAGGTAGAAATCAGCAGCAAAAAGAATGAAGAAACACCAGGTGGAGAAAAGAGGTTTTGTTTTTCTTAAAGCTAAAAGTCCTAATTTGGACCACAGAAAAAAACTGTTCTTGCAAGGTCTAGCCATGCAAATCTGGGTAAATTGTTATTCTTCTGTTCTCAGTCTTCCAATCTGTAAAATTAGGATAACAATCTGTACCACTTCTTACTCCCATGTGGAAATTCTGAACTAAACACTCTTCAAAACTTTGAAAATAAAAGGTTGTAGAAAGTCAAGGTTCTATGAGCGTTAGTCATCCAGTGCCTTCCAAAAGGCTCAGGAAGACGATGGAACTGTAGTCCTTCGAACAGCTTCCTAGCATGAGTTGCTTCCCTGAATTCTTGCTTGAGAAGCTCAACGGCTCTGCAGAACACCAAATTATTACCTAAAATAATATGGTCCTACCTTTCAGTCTCAGCAAAGAGATCTAAGAAATTCTTCATTTTACAGGTACGGAAGTTAACTCCCCTTAGTGGTCAGATGGCTTTTCTGGGGTCTCCTAGTCTCTAGTTCAGGCTTTTCCTACACTAGGCGCGACACCCTCCGGTCTAATGCCCCTTGTGCTACAGATGCCAAGATCCATCCTAATGTCCGACTTGCCTGCTTGCGTCAGACTCCGTCACAGGAGTGAGGGCTCAAAAGTGAACAATACTCCACACCTTCCCACTCTGAAGAGGGAGCCATCTTGGAAAGGAAACAAATCACAGGTGTCAAGTATCAAAAGCACAAAGGAAAAAGCTGGTATCATAGCTTCTGTCACCAAAGAATAAGAAGCTGGATTGATACAATTTACAAGCAAGAGGCATTCCCAACCAGCAGGCTAGTATCTAAGAGATCAGTATCTAAGAGATCACAGGGATTGCTGAGGCCATACCCCCCTTCTGAGGTTTAACTCTACCATCTGCACTCATTCTGACCCTTCACTCACTCACCCTACACCAAATGGGATCTCAAGGCTAGGCAGCAACAAAGAATCACTGAAGGTCATTCACAAAAAGGGATCCGTGCCTAAAGCCACCTCCATCTACAAGGCGTGCGCCTGAGCAGAGATGCACACAGCAGTGCTGAGCTGAAGAGCAAATGGGTGCTCTCTATGAATCTCTAGAATGCATACAATCATCACTTGCATCTCTGTCTGAGCTCACTGCTCCTTCTAGTATTTTCTATTGCCTTCATCTGCTGCAAGCGGATTCTCCCAGCCAAAGCTCCATAGCAGCCCAGGAACCTCTCAGATTCTGAGACTCGATGCTCTCAAACATGGAGTCAAGGAAGTAAAGAAAATCGTACCTACTAATGACCCAGGAACATCACTCCTTCAGAGATCAGTAATATAATTAAGACAAATCCTAGAAGAAATCCACTTTACTTCAGCTGCAAAATTGGAGCTAAAGAGATATGTACAGATTTGGTCAAAGACTTATCTATAATTTTTCTCCAAAGTTATAAATAGTTGTCATCTACCATGAAAAACATAGCAATAAGGCAAGGCCAAAAGCTAGCCAAGACCAAAAGGAGGAAGGCAGGATGAGAGTAAGTACTTAGCTACAAATTATTTTACTTACTCATTTTACAAAAGCAGCATCGAAGGGCAAAAGGGATCAAAAGCACGGCCTTAGATAAACAATTTTCTTCTAAAGTCCAAGAAAAGGAGAGTTTCTCACAGGCACTAATACATAGGTCTCAGACACAAGGCAGTACAATAGAACCATTTCAAAAACCTGAAAACATTTCCCCAACTGTTCACAGTGCATTTCCTAATTGTTAACAGGCCCCTTTCCAGTGCAAGTAAACTAAAAAATTCTTGAGGAACAATACGAGACCCAGGAGTGGTATTTTAGTAAACATACACCTCATTCTCCCCAAGTGCCCATTCCCCTTTACATGAAGTTACAAAAGTCATGAGATGCTAATATGGTAGTTCCTATCTTTTGTAGAACCAAATAATATAACCAGAAAGTAGAATCAAATTAAAAGAAAAGTTCTTTAGGCTGTTTTTGAAACACCCTATATTTGATTCAATGTTCGACCACATACAAAGTACCTACAGTCACGTCGCCCTGCCCTGGTGCACTGGTCTCTGGGAAGTTAACTGTCAGCTGACCTTTGGTTCCCAAGGAGCAAAGGTGCCTAGCACTAGGAAGCTTTCAGCTCTCTTTGAAATCTCACTGGTCCTAGATGGAAAGAGAGCAGGGGCTACAGGACAGGCAGTACAAAGCTACTTTTATCTAGACCTAATGTACCAATGGACATTTGCAAAACATTTTGGGAATAGGGCACTGCTATTGCTTGGACAAAGTTGGCACACTGAAAAGATCTGTTAACAAAATATAATCCACTCTCACATTCAAAAGCTAACTTAGGAGCTGCTCCAGGCACCATCTAATTAACTGAAGCAGACAGAAAGAAAATCCTCAGAAATTATCATTGTTTAAATACACTCTATTTTATTTTGTCTTAAAATAGTTTAACCTTTATGCTACAGACTTATTTCAAAAAACAGAAAATCTTATCTTGCACCAAAAAATATATATATAACACTCTGTTTTATTATTTTTTTCTCCAAAGACCATTAAATACTAAATGGAAACAAAAACTAAATAATGAATGTAAAGAAGAACCAAATTTTGTTTTAAAAACTAGAGTTGCACATTTTAAAACATTAATTCTAAGCAATGATTTGTCGTCACTGCATCAAGTCCACACTCACACTCCAGCAACAGCAGATCTGTTAACCACCAAGTGCATTGGTTCCTAGCCATACAATGGCTAACATTTCATTTTCATGGTAAGAGGAGCAAAAGGCTACATATGGCCTTTGTACTCTTTAAAAAACAAAACAAAACAACAACAAAAATATTTCCTAGTTATCCAGTGATTTTTCTTTTAAGATCACTACCCTTTAAAATTTGTTAAAAGAATAAGAAGTTATGTAGTGTTTTAAATAAAATGAAAAATACAACAGCATTGGACTAAAATACGTGATTATTTTAAACAAACAGTGCACAATCTGAGGAAGTTTGGTTAGGGCGCAATCATTTTTATATATACATGGAAGTCACATCATACACATACTGGAAAACAGAGATTAGGGGCTCCTTGCATTTAAAAAAAAAAATTAAAGACAAAATTGTGTCCCCAGCTCTTTCAAAAACCTTGTGTGACACAGTATAAAAAGCAGGCAACAAATTCATTTTTAAGTTACCTATGGTGGTGCTATTCTGCTAAAAGGAACAGTGAAAAATGGACAAACATGGCAAATCAGACAGTCATATTCACAACTGATAATAATAAAAGCAGAATTTATGCAATGCTCAACTGTAATAAATACTGAAGTCCACTCAGTCTGGCTCCTTCCATCAGAATGGAAAGACTACTGGCAAGCAGATGTACATGTTCAAGGGCAGCCAGGATGACATGAGAGCTAGTTACTGCTCTGTGGTTTCACACTGGAGGGGAGGGTAAGGAGGGGCTTAACTAAATCGGTGCCACAATCCAATCTGTGACCCAAGTGCACCACTCTAGCAGAGATACTACTTTGAATAATGTTCCGTGGAGCATAAAGAAGTACTGATGCTACCAAATGCAACACTTTGGTTAAAACACAATCCCTTTAAAAGAAAATTCCAATGTCATAGGACTTGTTTCCAACAGAATTTTATCAGTAAGATACCTTGTCAGAAGCCACACCCTCACCCTGGTGGATCTGGCAATAAAAAAAGAGTTGAAATAGTCTCTCTACAATTAGTAGGTGGAAAACTCCCAACCCTGTAGGGGAAAAGAGCTGACTGTCTCTACCATCCTTTCCCCTCCCCTTTTTGCACGTTAACTTCTAAATCGCTGTTCTGGCAACCAGTGGGTAGTCAGGATGCTGAAACAGGGGCAGGTGTGGGAAAAGCGCAACCAGGCATAAAAACACAAGGCCACAGCACTCTGCTCCCAATCCACAGTGCACAGAGCACACCAGAAGAATTCTGTTTAGAAGATGACTATTTAGGGGCTAAAGAAAGCATATCATGGGAAATCACCTGCTGTGTGGAATCAGACAAAACACACAATTAACATAAGAATAGGTAATGAGAAAACATTCTTTAAAATGGGGCTGTGCCCTGATACTGGGGAAAAAATAAGCTGCAAAAACTTCAAGTCATATAATTCACTCTATTCTTGTCCCAATGATTTCCTGGAAAACACAGACCAGAAATTGTACATTTCTGCTTTGTCTAGCATTTTAATTCAAGTCAAAAACAACGTGTAACAGTAAAATTCAATAAATTAATCCTAAAGGAAAATGTGAAGGTCCAAGGATATACCAGTAGTGAATCCGCAGAAGGTCCTATTTAGCTCTGGCCTCTGGATCTTTGGTTTTTGTCTAGAACTGTGGCCATGTGAGAGATCTGATACATGAGGTGCTAAAACTGGAGGTTCATGATCTTTTAAAAGCCTAATCTATTAAAACTAGATTGACAGAAAAATAAAAGAACAGAGGCCAGATCAAATGAGATGCTACCAAAGAAGATCAAAGAACACATGCTCATATCCACTCCCGTGGAAGAGGTATATGGAAGAACTAAAGCAGCAGGAAGAAGGGTAAAGGAATAAATGAGTCTTTATAGAAAAACAGGAGAAAAGCCCAGGCAGGTGGAGCCAGGCAGACTCTGATGCATGCGCACGCAGGGGTGTCCCATTTGTCTCAGTGGCCACACCACACCTACCCTGCACGGTACCATGTGCAGAACAGGCACTTGGTACGTGGGTGTCCACTAAATGACAACTAAAATGGTAGTTCTCAGGCTCTTAAGATAAGGAAGAGCCACCAAGGCATGTGGGGAGGGAGACAAGGGCTACAGCAATGTTATATGGTAAATATGGAAACAAAAAAGCAAACAAAAACCATGGAAAAAACAAAAGACGAGGTCTTCTAAGCCAATAGTACTTCACTCCTCCCTGTGCACAGTACATAGTGTTCTAACTAGGTATTGCTTGTAAAAGAATTCACTAGTAACTACAACATGTTATAGGAAAAAAAGATAGTAACTAATGCCACAGAACTCCAACACTGGCATTTCCTGAATTCCCTGAAGCTCCTAACCACCCTTTGCTTATTTAGATACTGTAAAGCCTACAGTGTCATTTATGTGCTTTGCATCTGGTTTCTTATGGTTTATTTTGATTTTTCCACTTTTAGATGGTAGAGGAGAAAAATACCCAAATATAGCATCAGGTCTTTTCAGCTCAAGCATTACTTAAACAGTTGTTGTACATCCTTTAGAGAGACCAGCTATGAAAGAAAGCACTGTCTTCTCAGATCTGTGAGTGCTCACAGTCTTAAGAGGTGAAGACAACTTTTCATATTTTACTTAAGTAATAGGTTTCTGTGTTCTCCTGTTATTTGAGCAAACAGGCGGAAAAAGGTGAGGGAGAGAGATTCTCCTACTGATCTCTCAATATTTTCCTCACATGCCCAGAAAACCTCATGGGTATCTAACTGAAATGCCTCTGCCCCAAAAGGAGACATTTTCCGAAGAATTACGAATTATTGCAACAAGGAGACCAACTATGTCACCTCAGCAGTATTTATAAACACAAAGGGGCATATCAATTATTTGTGCTGTGGGAAGTCAGCCAGGAGCAAAGGCAGGAAAGAAGGCAGAAGACTCAAGCTAAAAGAAAAGTAATACTTCTGTCTTCTATTTTTAAGGACAGGTTTTCAAATGCACATGCCCTACTAGGTGCCAATAAGGACCTGACTAGATGTGTGCAAATGCCCTACGGTAGGAGTGCCAATGGGTGGGCTGACAGTGGTCAAGGCTAGGTATTAATTTTTTACACAGAAAAATAAATACAAGATTCAAAAACTTAAATCCATTTCACCTGATAATTAAAATATTATTCTAAAAGGAAGGCAGACTTTCCTAAGATTGAAAGTCACCAAGGAAAATGAACTTGTCTAATAAAATTCATCATTCTCCTATTCCTACTGAGGGAAAGAAGAAATTCTTTTCTCTGTGCTAAGTTATTTTCCTAAGTGATTTCTTTTAATTTAAAAAAAAAAACGAAAGAAAAAAAAAGGAAGGGGGGGCAATTTTCCATGAGTTTGGATTATACAAATGCCACAAACAGCTTCTGAGGCTGAAGCTATGACAATGAACTTCCATGTCACAAAGAGGAGGAGGAGGAGGAGGAGGAGGAAGGGAACAGTGCAGAGGAGACACAGTGACATTGTATTACAGTAGGTATTTACGTCTGCTATCCTCATCCAAAGTAAGATCAACAACTTCCGCAGGTGAAGCCCAAGTCTGCTGGGGAGCCACAGCAGTCCATGACTGTGTTTGCCGGGTGCTGACGTACTGCGTGCCCGAGCCATGCTTCCATGAAGAAACACTCTGAATCACACCTCCTCGAGGATGAACACACCTGCAATTGAGATGAAAAGCAAAAGTATAAGCATGGTTAATCCCACTGTAGGAAAAATATAAAGCAATATGGCTTCACTAGCACTGAATGATACTTTTACAAAAAAAGGCCTACAATGTGAGTCTGTGAAACTCACAACCAATATCCTTCCCTTTCCTTCCCTGTTTGTCTCCCTCTCTGCCTTTTGTCAAGTTTAGCCTAAAAATTGACAAGAGTCTTGTCTCAGTCAGAAACTCCTCACTTATGTCTAGATCTGTTACTGACAATGGATAGATAACTGATGTTTCTCCCAACACATTTTAAACCTCTGGGGTCTTCAGGACAGGGCAGAATATTAATCCAGAGCAAAACTGAGATACCCAAACAATCTGAATCTAACCAAATGACATGGTAAGAAATGAAAGTACAAGCTGTTCTTAAAATAAGTTCTATGCCATACTGGGGGAATACCTTCAAAGACAGTAGTAGTAATACTCTTTTACAGATTGGATTTCTAGAAGTCTGTAAGTACTAGGTCATGCATAAAGGATCAATTTTCCTTATCCTAAAGGTCACAACAGCACACTTGGCTCATTCATTTAAAGTGCTTATGTGCCTTAGTTCAGTGGAAGTAGCAAGGCTTAAGTACTCAGTTAAGGTTCTGTAAAACTGCTTTATCAGAGGGACAGAACTTCCTTGCTGATAAATCTCACCAAAAGTTCACTGAAGAAAAAGGTTTCAAAACACTGACATAATGAATTCCACATTCCAATCAAATGATAAAACTGTGAGCCTCCAGGATGAATCACTGAGTAACTGGATTCGGACAAGAGGAAGGCAGGCCGCTCAAACTATCATTGCTACTTTTCTCCTCACATCCCTATGTAATATATGTAAGAAGTGACAGCTGGCAGGATTCTAGTCACATTAACTACTACAGTGGATCTTGAGCAGCTGTTTAACAACTGTGTACAATGAGCGATGCTGGTCACTTGAGAATTCTGGCTTTGATACACTGCTACCTACACTGCCAGGTTCAAAAGAACATTAGGGTAACAATGGACAAGGTTTAGTTGCAGAACTGCCCAAGGACCCCTAAGCTCCTGGAAAGAGGTCCCACTCCTACAAAGGTGGCCTGAAAATTACTCCCTTACCAAGAAAGGTGCCGAAAAACAGATCCCTCAGGGGCAGAGCAGGGGGTAGAAGGTAGATTCGTTACCGTACCAGAGGCCCATCATCTGTTGAGAATGGGCTAAATAGCTACTAACCCAGAGGCTACTAGGTTTTCAATGATTAGCTGGTGAAAAGCATTAAAATATGAGACATCAAGTCCAAAGACTAATACAGATCTGTCCAATGCATTAAGTACACTCAGATGAAGTGATCATGTAATCACGAAGAATGTCAGCCAGAGGAGTCCATTCAATATTGATAGAAATGGTTTTGATGACTGATGGCACTAAAATACTGTTTCTTAAGCAGTCTCACCTCATCGGACAATCTCAACAGACCTATGAGGTAGATGTGGAAGTTACTATTCATACTCAATTGAAAGGAAAATGGAGGGTTAAAGTGGTTACATGATTTGCCCAGGGTCATACTGCTGGAAAGTGGCAGGCCAAAGAGCTTCAAGCCAGGTCTGGTGTGGAGTTCAATGCTTTACACAACATCACAATGTCACTTTACAAACTCAGTAGAATTCAGAGAATGAATGACTACAGAGAGAATCGATGTAATCTTTGGCAGAATTCCTAGAAATATTTCTGAAATAAAAGAGGTATTTAGTCCCAACTGTTGCTCTACACTGCTCCCCTAAGTCATCATACAAGGGATTGGCTTTAAAGGGGATCTGAGCCAATGTGCTCATTTTACAAAAGAGAAAACTAAGGCTAAAAGGTGATTGCCCAGGGTCTTAAGCAAGTTAAGCACAGAACCCAAACAAAACCAGGTTTCCAGCAGGGAGTTCACTTTCTACTAAGTAACTATGCCCTCCTCAGACTACACCTAAAGAACTTTACCATGTCTGACTGCAAGGAGCACTGCCTAGCCCCTGGGAGTCATTACAGCAAAGCAGATTCCAGAAGGTACTCAGAGTACGAGTGAGAGGCGTAGAGCCAATATTTACTACTGAGGAATGATGGATAGAGGGAGAATAAGGATATGAGACACTTCTTCAACTATCTAAGTTAGATCACTTCTGTAGTTATGTTACAAATGATTCCAGTTACTGGAAACTAACCTGGACTACTTTAAGCAAAAAAGAGAATTTGTTGGAAAGACACTTGAGCACCTCAAAGAACCTAAGGATGATGGAATAACTAGGCCTCATTCATTGGATTCAAGCTCCCAACCTCTCAATCTGTTTCTCTCATTTCAAAATTTTTGATTCTCTGGAGAATGTGATGATCGATCTTTAGTCACAAGCTGTCCTGGCTCCTAGTAACTGTTAACTAGAAGGTCAATTACCAAAAAGGAGAATCGTCATGGAAGAAAGTGGCTACTCCATCCTGTACAGAGGTCTCAAGAGCAGACTAACAACCATCAATAAATTTATGGAGGGAAGCTTTGGATGATCATGACTATGCAACAATTACAGCTACTATCACATGGAATAAGCTTCCATTTACACCTTAAAGCAAGTGCTGGGACATCTGTCAGGAATATGAAAGAGTATTTTTTTTTTTTTTTTTTTTACAAATAGTTTATTGTCAAATTAGTTTCTACATAACACTCAGTGCTCATCCCCAAAGTGCCCTCCTTCATGCCCATCCCCCCTNTTTCTACATAACACTCAGTGCTCATCCCCAAAGTGCCCTCCTTCATGCCCATCCCCCCTCCCCCCCACATCCATCAGTCCTCAGTTTTTGTCAGCTGAAAGAGTATTCTAAGATGTCTTCTAAGATTATCATTGAGTTTTAAGATTTTGAACAATACAGGCAAAACTCTCCTTTTAGAAGTCACAGGGCCACAGTGGTGGGAAGGCTCTGACAGGAAGATGGCGCAAGAGGGACTTCTGTTTTTTGGGGTTTTTTGTTTTTGTTTTTTGAGAGAGCAAGTGAGCGAGCACAAGTTGGGGAGGAGAGGCAGAGAGAGGGAGACAGAGGATCCCAAGCAGGCTCTGCCCCGTGAGCACACACCCCCATGTCAGGCTCAAACTCCCAAACCTGACCTGAACTGAAATCAAGAGTCAGCTGCTTAACTGACTGAACCACCCATGCACTCGGGATGTCTGTTTCTTGATCAGAGTGCTGGTTACCTGAGTAGGGGCAGTTTGTAAAAACTAAAGCATACATGTATGGCTTTTCTAAGTGTGTTAAAGTCAATGAAAGAACTCAAAAATATTTTCGTGATTTAATGACCTCAATCATCTTAAATAAAATGGTAGCTAAGAGATGGATGAGGCCAGAACAAGACTTTAACACATTTCCTTTTTAAATACAGAGCAAAAGGACTCATGCTAGTAAACAAAGAGTGCTGGAGAAACATTTTATAAGATCGTGTGTACTTCATAGATCAACTTATACCAGATAGAAAGAGAGAAGTTTCAGAATAAAAAGCATCAGAAAAATTGTTATAAGCCCTACAGAGATATCCTATAGAAACAGAAGCGAGAGGCTCAAAATTTTGTTAAGTCCACGCACATAAAATATACAGTTGCACGTATTAACACATACCCTTTATCTGTATGATGAAACATGGAGTAGAAAGATGCTCAGCTTTTTTTTAAAGTTTGTTTGTTTACTTACTTATTTTGAGAAAGCAAGCAAGTGGGAGAGGGGCAGAGAGAAGGAAGAGAGAGAGAATCCCAAGCAAGATCTACACTATCAGCACAGAGCCCAATGCAGAGCTCAACCCCATGAACTGTGAGATGATGACCTGGGCTGAAATCAAACGTCGAACGCTTAACCTACTGAGCCACCCAGAAGCCCCATACTCAGATGTTTGTTTTTTTGTTTTTTTTTTTTAATTGATCTAATCAATATCTAGTGCAGATATAGGCTTTGTTTTCACAAAGCATTTAATCTGCATATCATTGACAATACACATAAAACATAATCTAGAGTCATATTTTGAGTCCTATATCCAAGAAAATGCTTAGGACTTACTTCCACCCAAAAAAACCTACTTTATAAACAATAAGTTTTGATAGAAAAATTTCCTGTTCTTCATACACTGAAACCAATAGGGGAGGGACTTCACAGTGGAAAAGAAAAAAACAAGAAATAGGGCAGGCTCTGATGGTCGGCTTTAAAACAGTTAATTGACTATCCTAACAAAACAACATTAAATATTAATCATTTTTGTTCTCATTTACAGAGCCTGAATGTGACCTCTTAGATAACATTCCTACTTATTTTTCCTAGCTAAAGATGAAGTGAATCTTCATAGCTTCAGAGAAATGGCTGTCTGCCTCCTTTGCTTTTTTTAGGGTTAATGTTTGCAATTGGTTCTAGGAAGCAATCAGTCTTCCATGCAAAATGCTTCTAGCATCAACTCTTCTGTTGAGGGATGAACCAACATTAAGACAAATGACCACAGGACCAAAGACTACAATTAATGAGGTAAGGATCTGATTATTGCCAAAAGCCTCAGAGGACAGGTACCAAAGAAACTGTTCTAAGAGTTCCTTAACAGAAAGATCGGCACTGTATACGTTCATCTTCCTAGGACAATTACCAATGAGGCTGGTAGAAGAAAAGGCAAAAGGAAAAAGAAAAATATTGGCATGAGGGCCATAAATTAAAAGTTCTGACAGAATTAAGTGGGCACAGAGGAGCCAGAGATGCTGGAAAAGTCTCTATCTCATTGGCAAAGAACATCTTGTGAAACTGGACTGTCCAAAAGTTAACCCCTCGAAATGATAACATTTAGGTAACATCAGGAGTTAATTACAACAATAACAAGGCAGTCATAAAAGATGCATTCAAACCATTAGTTCAGAAGACATGCTTTCTAGTCTGTGAGTAGAAGAAACAGAGAAGCTAAAGGAACATATCAAATCTAAATTAAAAGAGCAGGTAAAGATATTAACATGCAAGAAAAGAAAAAAACTGTTTAAAAAAAAAAAAGACCCATTGTAACTAAAATTACTGAGCGCAATGTCAAACAAAATGTTTCCAGTATGGAAAAATGGCAATGCAATGTAAGTCAGAGCATTCCTAAAGAGAAAAGCTCAAGCAAGAACCAATTCTGAGTTTTTTAAACTCTCAGCCCACAACAAGGTAGACTATCAAAAGAAGAAATGAGAAAAAAAAAAAAGAAGAAGAAATGAGAACAGGACAACTAAATCCAAACAAAACATCTATGCATGCAAATCAAATTAGAACAAAAAGATGTGGATCAAAACCTAAAACCTTTTTCCAAGCGATAACCCTGCCAGAAGCCCATCAATACTTCATAACTGCAACCCTAGACCTGTAAAAGAAATAAATTCCAGATGAGATACAGGCAGCCAAAAGGGTAACTCTGAAGTAACCAACAAGAAAACTTCTCCCCCCACCTGCTCCTCAGCTTTTAATCTCAATTATTTGAAAGATTATCATGCTTCCTCTAAAGAAAGTGCTGGAAAAATGTTCAGAAAGACACAGAAGAACCAGTGAGACTCTACTCAGTCCTAGACCTGAAGACCAAAATAAAAGACCCTCTCAGGATGACAAAAGGGTCAGTTCAAAGTACTTCAACGAAACTTCTCAACACAACATTCTATTGTATGGGCAGCATTAACCACCACTGAGATTTCATAATAAATGTGTCACCTCTAAGACCATATTTCCACAGGATTCAAACAGAAGTATCAGAATAAAACACATCTTTATGCTTCAGTGTTTGTAAGGAAAATGTCCTTGAAAGTAGTGTTACATACAGTATGTTATTTAAAATGTAGTCAGCCACTTAGTTCAAGAGTGGAACAAACATACCTATAGAGTAAAATGGAAATCTGGATAAAAGACCTAATAAGTATAGAGAAGGGTGTACTAGAGATTGTGTGTGTGTGTGAGTGTGTGTGTGTGTTGGGAGTGGGTAGGAACTTAAAATTTAAATTTCTGAGTTTTAAGAGAAATATAATGATAATTTTAACTCCAGATACCAAAAATATTGGTAGAAAAAAAGAAGCTAAAGAGTTCATGATGGAAGAAAAGTTGAACAAAGAAGCCAAGAAGAAGGGTGGCTCACTCTGTAACATTTGTAGGCACAAGTAAACAGTAAAGAAGTGAGACTCGGTATAAGTTAATAGAGAACTGGGCCAAGTAACATGTTTCGAGAAAGAGACTAGGTAAGCAACACAGGTTATTACCTATTCTTTGTTACTTCAGTAGGAACACAGGACCAACAATGAATTAAAATTTGAAATGTAACTCGTGAGGAAGATGGTGAATGGATAATGTGCACAACTGACGATAATTTACCTATATCAATCTGTTAATAGGCAAGGTGAGATTTATAGTAGGGATTAAAAGGATACTCATGTCTTTTTCATTGTAAAGAACATGGTGAAATAAATAATGGCAGACACATGCTGAAGTAAAGGGAAAAAATCAGAAGGTCTATACCCTTTCATCTAGAGAGGTAAGTCAGCATTAAGGGAATAAATAAAAAAAAGAGAACAGGAAAAAGTTTGTGATTAAGGCAGAAAAAAAAGGATGAGATTAAGCAAAGACAGAAGAATGAAAATTGTTTCCCACCAGAATGGGGGAAATAATCATTAAACACAGGAAAGAAAAAAGGAAGCAGCTATGCAGGCATACTTCTGGCATCAACACAGGATAGAGGATGAAGTGCTTACTTCTGATAAAGTAAACTGGCCACTTTTGGGGAGAAGACATGCTAAACTATGACATTACTTTACATCCTTAAAGTCCCAACAGGTATGACCTGAAAAATACTCTCAGAAAGTAGACTCAGTTCTAAGACAAATGTACCTTCGATTTATACGCATGTGTATTTTGCCTGTGCTCTCTACTCCTAAGTTCGCCTTTTATATATATACATGACAGAAGAAATGCTGGTGAATGTTTTCTTACCTTTCTAACCAAAGAGTAAAATCAGATCTAAGAAACAGGTAATGTAGATATTGTTTTACATGCCTACTTAGGGAAATCACAACTTAACTCTTACAGAAAAGTTGCTTGCTATATAGAATACAAATTTTCCAAAGTCTAAATTTTTGTTTTCGATACAAGTGCGTGTGTGTGTTAAATGTTCCTCAGGAATACCTCTGAGAGGACTATAACCAATTCTTAGGAACATTATCTTAAAGCAAGAGTCAGTAAATGTTTCTCTACATAGGGCTAGACAGTAATTACCTTAGGCTTTGAGGGCTATCAGGTGTCTGTTGAAACTTCTTCTCAACTCTGCCACTGGAATGCAACAGCAGCCACAAACAATATGTAAATGAACAAGCATGGCTCCATCCCAATAAAATTTTATTTACGGATAAATATGTTGTATTTAAGTGAATTTCATAAAATTTTCACAAGTCATAAAACATCATTCTTTTTTTGATTCCACCCCCCCTCCAACCATTTAAAAATGTAAACTAGTCTTAGCAAAAGGTCCATATAAGAACAGGCAACAGACGAGTTTGCTCATCCCTATCTTAAACAATGACAAACTTCAAGTTATTTTTACAACACTAGACAAATTTGATGTCTTGTGGCTTTTAATCCTAAAAACAGGACTGCCTGAGTCACATGAACATCACTAGAAATATACTATGTTAGGAACAGACCAAAGTAACTTGCAGGTTTTAATGAATGACAAGAGGTGCTTTAGGAAACAAGTAATAGAGATATGATGTCAGATGTATATTTCCCAGTTGTTTGCTCCCAATATACTTCAAGATAAAGTGCAAGGCAAGAAAATATGAACGACAGGGGGTAAAGTAGGATAATACTTATGCCATAAAAGATAATAAGCAGGATGATACTTATGCCGTAAGAGAAAAATCTGTCAAGCTATCTAGATATTTGCTAAAAATAAGAGGAAAACATCAGTTCTATTTCACATGCATATGTTTGAGATGTTCTTGATATAAGATGCAACACATTCTCAAGCTCATTATCATGTTTAATCAAAAAGCATTTTTTAAGTCAAAGGAAGCCAAGAGACAGCCCCCACCATTCATGACAGCCATGCCACGAGGACTACCATTTTCTTCTTACTTTGTTTCTGGTTAAAATCAAATTCACAGGTAAAATATCAGAATGCTCCAGTGAACGTCCTACCTTGCATGTTCCTGAACTCCCACAATCTCCACTTCACTATCTGAAGAGGCAATATTAATTTCTTCATTGAGTGGTGCATTGCCAGCCGATGTCTTGTCACTTGCTAGGAATCCTGGATCCAAATGACCTGAGAGAGAAGGGGGGTAAAATAAGCACTACAGTCTGACTTCTTACAATCAGCACGAAAAACTCATTGACAGATTTCCCATCCAGGTTAACCACAGAAAGAGAACTCCCGTATGAGAGCTTGGCAGAGTGAAACCATCAAGTCTCTCACTCTCTATTCATTAGGAGAGAAAAAAAACTCTGAGTACTTTAGTAAATAGGTATATATAAACTGTGATAATACCCTATTATATTTTATTCCACAATGCCTTTTGCATTCAACTCTAGTCTCCTTTTAAATGGCCTGTATAGGGGCACCTGGGTGGCTCAGTTGGTTGGGAGTCCGACTTCGGCTGAGGTCATGATCTCACAGTGTGTGGGTTCGAGCCCTGTGTCGGGCTCTGTGCAGACAGCTAGCTCAGAAACTGGAGCCTGCTTCAGATTCTAGGTCTCCTTCTCTCTCTGACCTTCCCCTGCTCACACTGTGTCTCTCAGAAATTAATTTTTCTAAAAACTTAAAAATAAATAAATGGCCTATATAATAGGTTTGTCACCACCTAGAAAGCAATAAGGTTCTCTACTTACCGGTAAATTTCATTCATTCATTCATTCATTCATTCATTCATTCATTCATTCATTCATTTTTGAATAGGCTCCACAACTATTGTGCATCTTGAACTCATGACCTTGAGATCAGTAATTGCAACTCTTCTGACTAAGCCAGCCAGGCACCACCACCGCCCCTCAGTAAATTTTAAGAGAGCAAAATTCTAAACCAAAAAAGTTCAATGGCATAAATGGAATAAATAACAGAGGTACTCATTAATATCATATTTATACTAAAATGTTTTACGAAGGATTTAACAAATTTCTTTCCATTTTAAACAATCTTAATAGTTTTTCTCAAAAGGAAAGTAGAGTTGACAAAATCTGACCCCAAACCACATCTAAAAGAAAAGGCTAGAGGCAGATCACAATTTCTGTTCTGAGCAACTGAAACATAACCTGTACGTTGCTGACAGTTATTAGAAAAAAAGCACATATTCTGGAAAAGCACAACAATTTGTGGCACTGGGGCATGTAAGAACTTTTTCACAAGGGACTTCACAAAGCATCTATTTCATGGTGGAATAAAACATTCTCCCAACTCACCGAAAACTTCACAGAACTCTCAATAAAGGCTAAGAGCATAACATCAAAGTACACAGCTATATAAACAATTCTAACAAGGGTTAAAACAATTCAGCTTATGTACCCAGCTCTAAAATGTTCTAACCTTTATGAAACAGAATATCTAGGAGTTAACATGAAATAAACCAAGTTGCAACAGGCACACATTTTCAATTACTCTTTAAAGGATATTTTTATTTAAATATATTATCATCTGATACAATACTGTTTCTCCATTAAAAGAAAAATCTTTGGTGACACCTCATATAAACTAAGCCAGTATCCGTAAGATTTTAACCACACAACTCTCCCTTCCCCCTCTATTACCCCTTCACATCATTAATTCCAATGCTTCAAGTTCACTGAGAAACCCTGTACTTTTCATACCCCTGTGAACTTTTAGTATAACCCTCTTAGAAAATGATACACAGTCACAAAGCAAACGCCTTACAATTTTTATACCCTCTGACCCTGTCTGTAATCCCATCTCTGAGAATTTAACCTAAGGGAAAAAACTTTAAATAAGCGAAATGTTATGAGGTCCAAAGACAGTGACTACAGTCTATGCAGAAACTTGGGGAAATATATGCATAACACAGAAAGTGTCACATATAACACTATAAAAACATTTTGGTGCTGGGTAAAAGTTGTAAAAACCAATCAAGCTTGAATATGACTGTGGGTCTTTTTTACAATTCTTTAATATTACTTTTACTTTTTTCTTTAATTGAACACTGCATATGAGAAAAAAGACTAAAAAGCTTAAAATGGCTTCCACATACAACAGGTAATTGAGATTATATTACAGTCTGCAAGGGCTTGTTAAACTTTCTGTATTAAAGAATAGCCTAAATAGAATTCTAAATATTGGCAGTGGGTAAATGTCTTTGAGCCTCACAAGCAAATGAAAGACGGCATTTACCAGATAAAGGTCAGTTTTGTTAAATGTGGGGTGGGTATTTAAATGAAGTATGGTTAAATCTTGATTTGGTAAACTCAAGTTTCTTGCTCTGATGCCAGTATCTTGTTTGTGGCCAAGTCTTTTGTCTAATTTCTAGTTCAGTGTTGGAGTTAGAACTAGCAGGGCGCCTGGCTGGCTCAGTCGGTTAAGCGTCCGACTTCAGCTCAGGTCATGATCTCACCGTTAGTGGGTTCGAGCCCCATGTCGGGCTCTGTGCTGACAGCCAGCTCAGAGCCTGGAGCCTGCTTCAGATTCTGTATCTCCCTCTCTCTCTCTGACCCTCCCCTGCTCATACTGCCTCTCTCTTCCTCTCTCAGAAATAAATAAAAAGCATAAAAATTTAAAAAAAAAATTTGAACTATCATCATACACACTGTTCCTACTACACTTCTAGAAAGGAATACAAATTGATAGTATCTTTTTTCAAACCTTCAATTTGTCCATATTCAATCTTTTGAGTAGCCTTGTTTTGTGCAACTATAACAATTTGGTTCTTCTATTTGTTCCTACAATATATACTTGTTTATGCAATGCTATGCACTAGGCAGGTGCTTCAAATGCTAGAGAACAAGGACAGGAGGTGTAGTGCCTACCCTCAAGGAGCTCACAATATACTCTGGGATTAGAAAAAGCAGTACATTTTACTATGGCTTGAAAATTGCTGGGGGGCCTGGCTCAGTTGCTTCAATCTCCAACTCTTGATTTTGGCTCAGGTCATGATCCCAGGGTCATGGAATCGAACCCTGCTTCAGGTTCCACACCAAGCATGGAGCCCGAGATTCTCTCCCTCTGCAGCTCACACGCTTCCTCTCTCTCTCTCAAAGAAAAAAGCGGGATGGCTTAGTCAGTTAAGTGTCCAGCTCTTGATTTCACTTCAGGTCATGATTTCATGGTTTGTGAGTTTGAGCCCTGCATCAGGCTCCATGCTGACAGTACACAGCCTACTTAGGATTCTCTCTCTCTCTGCCCCTCCCCTGCTCACTTTCACTCTCAAAATAAATTAATCAACCAAAAAAAAGTTAAAAAAAGAAAAAGGAAAAAATTGCTCAGCTAGAGAGGTAAAGAGTACCTTTAAAGATATAGAAAAGGGAGAGGGTTCCCGGGTGGCTCAGTCGGTTAAGTGTCTGGCTCTTGATTTTGGCGCAGGTCACGATCTCAGTTCATGGGTTTGAGCATAGCATCAGGCTCTGCACCAACAGCATGGAGTCTGCCTGGGATTCTCTTTCCCTCTTTCTCTACTCCACCCCTGCTCATCCTCCCCCCCACCCTCTCTCAAAATAAACATTTTTTTAAAAAATAAAAAATAAAGACACAGAAAAGGAAAATTTCCCAGACCTGAGAATAATCAAAGACACTGAGCTCTCAGGAAAGAGTAGGCACAGGTGACATGAAGTAGCAATGAGGAACACTATGTTGTCCTTTAGACTATAAAAGTTCAGTGAGATGTGAGGTAACATAGTAAAAACAGTAATGGGGAACAAGGCTGGCAAAGTCAACAGAGTTCAGATCATAGTAAGGAGTCTGGAACGTGACCTTGAAAAGTAGGAAACCGCTAAAGAATTTAAGCAGTGACCTGATCTGGTTTTCCATTTTTAAAAATTGCTTTTTGGTGTGTAGAAATGGAACTAATATCAGGGCAGGGAATATTAGAGGCAAGAAAATCAGTCAGACTGCTGTAGTCTCCTGGGTGAGAAAGGACTATGGCAGAACTAGGAAAGAAACAAAATGGGGAATAGTCTGCGTGTGTGTATATACAGAGGGTTGGTAACAGTGGGCAAATCAAAGTAAACATTGATGGCCAGGTTTCTGATTCAGGTAACCAGACAGAGTAACAGTGCCCTTCAGTGCACCAATGAACAGCTGAGGATGGCTGCTTGTAAGGACATGCCGAGGACATGCTTCTGAGATGTCCACAGGGCAGCTGGAGGTACTGTTCTAAAGCTCAGGTCAGAGGTCTATGGAGGAAATAGAGTCCTCGGCAACAGTTGAGTAGGTAAAGGTTAACGAGAGGAATGAAGGGGGCCTAGAACAACGCTGATGAACATCAATAATTAAGGGTGGGTAGACGAAGGGGAGCTCACCAGGTTAAGTGAGAGGTAGTAAGAAAACCTTAAAATACGAAGCCAGTATACCATGGAATGAGCATTTCTAGGAAGAAGTACTTATCAGTGCTCAACAGATTCAATGAGAAGAGGAACTATGTAGAGTCTACTAGACTCAGCAGTTAAGATGACCATGACCTTGGCAAGAAAGGCCTCAAGACTGATAGAGCTAAAGCCAATGTAGCAAAGCAAGCTAAACAATAATGGAAAGTCAGGTAGAACAGACGTATTTAAAATAGTTATGCTATGAAGGAAAATGCAATAGCATAGTACTGAGAAAGGAAAAAAATGGGTTTGAGAAAGGGGAATGTGTGCGTATGAATAACTTTAAAAGATGGGAGAGACCTGGCCAAATTGGGGGTGGGGAGGTGGGGGAGGCAGAGAACAAAGACATGTGACGGCAGAAGGCTGAGGCAATACATGAGGGAAGGCCATGTATGTGCAGAGCACAGGTATGGGTAGGGTAGCAGGGTGCGGGGTCAGAAAAGTGAAGGAAACACACTGCCTAAGCAAAGACAGGATCTGCTGGGCAGCACGGAGACCCAGGTTGAGGCTGCGGATGAGGAAGTTAAACTCAGCCCTCAACTCTGCAGCTATGTGATTTTCTCCCAGCTATACTAAGCAGTGTGACACAGGCTCCAAGTGTGCATCCAGGGATTAGACCTTGCCAGCTGGGTATGACGGGAAAGCTGGGGAGCTGGTAAAGGAGTGCTGGGCTTGAGCACACTAGAGTGGGGGAGAAGTGGAGCCAGCAGGGGGCTGGCACAGGGCCGGCTGCGGGCAGAAGAG